GACTGATTGCCTAATGGTAAGGAATCGGCGCCGCCGTTAGTCACTCGTAATACCAAAGAAGTTCCTACAAGTCTGCTGTCAGCCTGTCAGCGGGTTATTAGGGATTTAAGGACCAATCCTTCACCCCCATCATCTAGATGGGGGTGAAGTATTGGTCCTTCACCACCTGGTTCTTGTTGTTCCTTCACTTGGCATGTGTTCTTAGAAAAGGGTAAAAAACTTCACAATTTAATTTTTAAAATCTTCATAATTATGACTAAATATCAAGGACCATCGATTCAAAAACCAATTTAATTCCTAAATTTAGTGGTTGCCAACGGGAATTAATTAAAAATCCGAATTAATATTAATTTGCCTTATTCAGTTGTATTTGCTCTTGTCACCACTAAACCAACGAGCCACTAAATTGGTTAATTGATCTTTGAAATAATTTAGCACTCGCCCGACTGAGTTGAAGCCGCAACTTGTAAATCAAGGTCATTTTCTGAACTACTAACTGTAACACAAACTTTACACGCCATTTGCCATAACCAACATGAAATCAGTCATGAAACTAAGCAAATACACGGGATCTTGGGCGTTAGCGGTTTATCAATACGGAATAACATAAATCCTTTAGGCAAGATCTCCCTTAACTCTCCCATAGACATGAGGGCGGCGAATAAATCAAATAACTTTTCAAGGCACGTTTTCATGAGTTTTGACCAAAGAGATACGAATGTATCGATATGGATACAGCCTTATGAATTCATGTTCTGAATTCAAATAAATCTTTTGAGTGAAGCTGCCAAAAGTTTTGTTAAGAGTTAATTTGTATTTTCGAAGATTTTGTTTAAATTTCTATAATAATAAATAGGTTCATTCTTTGGACAGAGGATAAACATTGCCAAACAAATCGACAATGCTGCCAGCCGGCTAATAAATAATTTCTATACTTTATAACAGATTTGTAGTTTTAGATTTATTTAAAATAATAGTCATATTTATAAATTGCGCAAGAAAAGTATGAAACATCTACACTATTATTTTCATAGCGCTGGCTATTAACAGGTATGTATATTAGAAAAACTATAAAAAATGCATTGTGTCTCTTGAAGTTCCGCGTACCGAAAATAACTATTTCGTACCAAGTTAAAACTATTTTGTATCTATTCAATGTGGGTAACATCCACTTTTCGCAGTTTATAAGGGAGCAAACTTATCACTAAATACTTATCATCATTTCAGATCCCTTAAAATAGAAATTTAAAAGACCAAAAAATAGTTTTCTTGTCTGGGAATGAAAACCGAAACCTCTTTCTTTCTTTCTTTTTATTTAGTAAACACAATAAAGTCAGAGTTATAAATTTAAATTGTTGGACATAAGAAATTGTGAAAATGCGATATATTTATAGAAAACAAATCGTCTATAAAAACCCACCCATTTATCCAACGAATGGAGGTTTTCTTTACCATAAACTTCCAATCAGTTAAAAAGGTAAACGTGGAAAGACTGGTGGTCATTTGTTGTTCTCCGTACTTGCAAAACAAAGTCAGCAACACAGCTGTGGACCTCATCATCTCATCTATCTCCGTTTCGTGAATTAAAACTTTCCGTGGCCAAGTTTGACCTAATTCTTGTTGTCAAACACACCTACACCTAGAGAGGCGAAAAGACATTCCTTTTAAAGATTTACAGCTTTTATTTCTGAAAACTAAAAATATAGGTGCAACTTCGTTTTAAAAATACGAATGTCGATGACTTTATTATTACATATGGAAATACTACATTTACGTAGTTATAGTACTCGATATGGGTATAACACACTTCTCTTAAAGCGGATTACTATTCAAGCAAAAGCAATTGTGTTTATTATTTCATGAGAGTTTCTGCAACATTCTATTCGTGTTTGAACTATTTCTCACAAAGCTGAGCTTTGACGCATGTACTGAATATTCGAGTGAACAACCCGTAGGTGAAAGGTGTAATCATATCAGGACAACCCTTATAGAGCTCTAAAGGAAACCCTTACTTGGAAAATTGCAATCTATTTGGGTATGGGACGCAAGACTTTTTGCTAACCAACTTACTCATGAATAAGGAAAAAGTTAATTCTATAAAACATTTTGTAAGTATTGGAATACCTTCGAGACTCTCAAGTATTCGGAGACGGTAACGCTATGTTGCTAGTTATCTGAATGAATTCTATGAAACTTAAAACAGGCTAACCACGAAATGCTTTCGCCATTTCGACGCGAAAGTTTCCTCTCAGATGTTTTCCACGGTCCGACGGCCGGAGCCGCAACAAAGCCAAAATTAGCCTGTGTTACAAACCACGGAACGTTCTTTGAACATTTTCTATAACAACGGTCCTACTGACCTATTTTTTGTTATAATCGTCGGGTGTTTTAATCAATCTTCAATGAATGAAAGGAGTTTTAACATCGCAACCGTCGCCTTTCACGAGATTGTTTCAATTCTTGTAATTTGCAATTCATCTGTGAGCGCACTGTTTGGAATACTTGAAGTTTTAATTTATACAATTTTAGTGGATCGCCAGTGGCTTTGCGAGCGTTGAATTAATACACCAAAATCATTCTTTGGAGTTGTTTTTAATTGGAGGTGTAACAGATTGCACGCAGTGGAATGGGATGGGATGGTCATTGAAAAGTTAAAATTGTGTTGACTAATATGAATGGTGCCACAAAAACCAATGATGTCACTAAAATCAAAATATAATCAATTTTTTTCTCTAAATATAATGATAATATAATCACGTAAGTACCATCTCTGAAGCAGGCTCTGCCAATATATGCCTTATTAAATTCTACCGTATAAATTTGGAGATATTTGTAACGACGTGTGAGTGGCAGTATAATATTTGCATTATTAGGATAATTTTACATGTCATACCTAGAAGTACTTAAATGATATTATCAAATAACGTCCTAAATTGTTACTGTTATAGTCATTGATATAATGTTACATCACATATCAAATCAAAAGCAAATCAAAATTAAAAAATATATTATCCTGATCGAGTTTTTAGATGCTCACAACATACGTATATGTTGTGACACAATGTTCGTATACATGACTTCAAATCCTATGTCTATATAGGAAAAAGGGCATCCATAGGGATCATTCATCTCGATCGATCTCGAACTTCACGCTTCATTTCCCTCCACGTCATTCCGATGCGTTCTTAAACCTACACTGTTCGGAACAAAATTATGTCCCACAGCTGGGACTACGTCTAAATCGTCCAATTTCCTTCCAAGCCAATACTATCCAATTTTAATATATTTAAAGATAAGCCACCTCGTCTTTAGTTTAGGAATTGGATTACAACTCAGAAACCCGAGGGAGCCTTCCTACTACCTGCCCATAAAATTTAATATCATTAATTATTCACAGAACAGTTGCGGAAACATTTTTGGTGAACAACTAACTTTAGATTAAGTTTAGTTTGTCTTTGATGTGAATAAATATTCATGTGGACTTAGACTTGCATTTAAGAGCTATTGTTTTACACTACGTACCCGATTTTAAAAGAATTTGGCACTTATTGACAGTCTATCAAGGTCTGAAAAACTAATACCGAAATTTTACACGTTACCTTTTCGAGTATTCCATCTAACATCATGGTTTGTTCAACAGTCAATTGTCTATCGACTTCTTCTTCATAAAAATGAATTGCTGTTCTTTAGTCTCGCCTTATCTCAAAAACAGGTGAACCAATTTGGCTAATTTTGGGCTTCATTAAAAAATTTGTGCGAATTCGTGGAAGATTAACAAGGTCAAAAAATGTACAGAAATTGCAGTAACATTTTGGAAATGTTAGTTAATTTTATGGTGGTACGAAGTTTGCTGGGTCAACTAGTAATAGTATAAAAAAGATACATCAAAATACAAACCAATGGCTAAATATTTAACACAGGGTATTTGAAACTTAAACCACATTCGAGACTTACTATTTAAAAAAAAAAAGCAATTTCAAACTCAATTATCGTCAACCTGCAAACGACTTTTCTATTTTATTATATTTTTGCCAGTTTAATTTCTACTACAAATGTTTGGACGAACATACAGTGACTTTTTGCTGATATTTAATTAATTCGATACAAGAGGATAAAATATATATATTTTTTTTTTATTGATTATAGGTTCGCGCTTGACCGCTATCTCACCTGATGGAAAGCGACGATGCGGTCGACGATGGAGCGCGCTTACCTAGAAGTAACCTATTCACTCTTGACTTAAAGATACCCAGATTGTAGCTATCAGGAAACACCGACTCCGGCAAGGAATTCCACTTCTTGGCTGTACGCATGATGAATGTGCTCCCAAAACGTTTTGTACGTATATGTGGGACATCCACCATGTACCGGTGGCGCAATGCCGTACGTCTGGTGGTCCGATGAATTATATTATTATACCAGCTTTCACCCGCGACTTATATTGACTTCCTGCAGATTTTTGGTTTCAAAACGATCCAATGATCTTCCTGGAGTTCCAACCTATGTGTGTACTAAATTTCACACAAATCGGTTCTGTAGTTTAGGCGTGAAGAAAAGACAGACAGACAAAGTTACTTTCGCATGTATGATATAAGGTTGGATGAATATTATAAGTCCAAAGCCCCTCGGGACCACCACGGTGGCTGTGACGCACGACTTTTGTTTAATTTAATTTTAAAATAATTTCGACGATCTCCCGGTTTTCCGTACACACATAGAGAAACATCGTGAGGATTGTTGACTTATAGTTGCCGAGTATCTAATAGCCAATCCACCTTAATCAAATGTTCAGCCGGGGTTGCGGGGTAAGCGCAATGAGGTACCGCGACCTCGGCACAGAGCAGGAGAAGGAACAGGGGGGTTTTTAGTCAGTAAGAGTCTGACACTACCTCCTGCCCGGCCCTGGGCGTAAGTCATTTGATGACTTTCCCCTCACAAAAAAAAAAAACCTTAATCAAATATCGTGATTACATTATGCCTTCTTGCCTGTTATACCTTATCTAAGTGAAGGTGAAGGTGAAGGTGAAGGTGAAGGTGAAGGCGAAGGCGAAGGCGAAGGCGAAGGCGAAGGCGAAGGCGAAGGCGAAGGCGAAGGCGAAGGCGAAGGCGAAGGCGAAGGCGAAGGCGAAGGCGAAGGCGAAGGCGAAGGCGAAGGCGAAGGCGAAGGCGAAGGCGAAGGCGAAGGCGAAGGCGAAGGCGAAGGCGAAGGCGAAGGCGAAGGCGAAGGCGAAGGCGAAGGCGAAGGCGAAGGCGAAGGCGAAGGCGAAGGCGAAGGCGAAGGCGAAGGCGAAGGCGAAGGCGAAGGCGAAGGCGAAGGCGAAGGCGAAGGCGAAGGCGAAGGCGAAGGCGAAGGCGAAGGCGAAGGCGAAGGCGAAGGCGAAGGCGAAGGCGAAGGCGAAGGCGAAGGCGAAGGCGAAGGCGAAGGCGAAGGCGAAGGCGAAGGCGAAGGCGAAGGCGAAGGCGAAGGCGAAGGCGAAGGCGAAGGCGAAGGCGAAGGCGAAGGCGAAGGCGAAGGCGAAGGCGAAGGCGAAGGCGAAGGCGAAGGCGAAGGCGAAGGCGAAGGCGAAGGCGAAGGCGAAGGCGAAGGCGAAGGCGAAGGCGAAGGCGAAGGCGAAGGCGAAGGCGAAGGCGAAGGCGAAGGCGAAGGCGAAGGCGAAGGCGAAGGCGAAGGCGAAGGCGAAGGCGAAGGCGAAGGCGAAGGCGAAGGCGAAGGCGAAGGGGAAGGTGAAGGTGAAGGCGAAGGTGAAGGTGAAGGTGAAGGTGAAGGGGAAGGTGAAGGTGAAGGCGAAGGTGAACGTGAAGGCGAAGGCGAAGGTGAAGGTGAAGAAGACAGAGCTAGCTCTCTAGAGAAAGAGAAAGAGAAAGAGAAAGAGAAAGAGAAAGAGAAAGAGAAAGAGAAAGAGAAAGAGAAAGAGAAAGAGAAAGAGAAAGAGAAAGAGAAAGAGAAAGAGGAAAGAGAAAGAGAAAGAGAAAGAGAAAGAGAAAGAGAAAGAGAAAGAGAAAGAGAAAGAGGAAAGAGAAAGAGAAAGAGAAAGAGAAAGAGAAAGAGAAAGAGAAAGAGAAAGAGAAAGAGAAAGAGAAAGAGAAAGAGAAAGAGAAAGAGAAAGAGAAAGAGAAAGAGAAAGAAATATTGTTGAATTAAAGTAACACTATTGTTACTTTTGTATTACCCATTAAGAGGTACAATTTATAAGTTTGTATGTAGGTGGTAGCTGGTAGTCTTTCGAGCCGCAAAATTCTTTCACTGACAGTAAGTATCTCCTACTGCTGCTATGCAGTAAGGCTAAAACTTATACTTCATTTGCGTATTTTAATCAAGCTGTCGCTTAAATGCTGCTGTTTTAAAATCCCGGTATACATTACTATCATGCGCGTACAAAGCCGCGGGTGGAAGCTAGTTAGTTATACAATAACGCAATTGCCGGTTTGGACAATATTACCTATATTAGAGTAGAGAGAATATCTGTTTTCACAGTACAAATTATCAGTAGACAACCCGTTTATTATAATTGTAACCGATTCGCCTAAATTGTTGAAATCTGTTTGTTAAAATTTTGTTTACTCTCGGACTTTAGGGCTTTTCGCTAAAATTACGTTATTCGGTTCAGTAAAATTGAACAACTTTAATAAAACAAATATGTGTTTTGTCTGGATCAATGCCATTATTGTTATGCCCTTATCGAATAGGAGTCAATGTGCTATCGACTTCGTTAATATTGCTATATTATGTCAAGGAAAACTCAAATCGAGAAACTCTACAGAAAGTCTATCAACATAACGCTTGTTGTTGTTGTATGTTACTAAAATGCACAGAGGTTAAATTAATAACGTTTATCATAAGCAAAATAGTTTTTGTTACGCTAATATAAACCTTAAAATATCACATTTTAAAGATCTAGATTGTAGTTAGCAATAAAACCCTAGCGCACCATACTTTGAACAGCGTACATATTATATGTAAAAACCTTTTAAAATAATAGTTATACTCGTCAAATTAAGTCTTGCAGTCGTTATTGGAGTTCCTAAGGCTGCAAGATAAACTGATTCGGAACTTTCCCTGAAGTTAGTTGGGTTTCGTTTGTCTCATTTTGTATGGAATAGGGCATAAACTGGTTTCAATAACACGTCTGTAACATTCCCAATAATTTTCCATGCTACTACATACGTTAGAATTAAAAAAGGAAAATGGCGGCTGTTTCAATCCATTACTTGTTGCTAAGTAATAAAATATTATAGGTATATCCAGTTCAGTGATATTTGTATACATTATTAGCCAGGATAATAGACTATAACGAAGTTGCAAACTAATCATTGTTATATTTTACTCATTAAAAACTTACTAAATAGCTGTCACAGACAAAGACTTTCAGCTGTACTTTCTAAGATTGTATGATGAGAAATAAAATGCATAAATATCGAATTAAAAACTTTTTAAGAAAATATTAAACTGGCTACTTTTCAGTTTAATTTTAAACAGTTCTGTCTGGTGGGCATTTTATCTTTTGTTTGTAGCCAGTTGTTTGTACCTTGGTGTAGATAATAGTATGTGCAGGTGAATAAAATTAACTCAATATTTACAAGAAAATTATTTTATTATAACTCCTAGTCCATAATCAATATTCATTTTGCTTATGAATTGCACCACACATGCAGTTTAGAGTTTCACAGTGAGGCCGGAATTAGTTTCGCGACTTTGTTTAAACTATAAAGGTTGGCAGTCAATTTAAGGCATGAGAGGTTCGAAAGAAATACAGTGCTCACGAACAGAAATATCATAAACTACCTGCGAATGCTCTGTATTATTATAATATTGGTGAGTTTAATGTCTTACGGTTTACTAATGTACCTATTTATTTTATTGGTACATACTTCTGAACAAATCTAATTAATAGTAAACTTTTTGTTTTTGACGTGGGTATCTACTACAATAGGATTTGCTCCTGTGTCGTTGATGTGTTTCTAAATATACAATTTCACATTATATGTCACACCAAGAGCCGAAATAACAATTTGTGGATCACACAAAGAGTTGTTCCGTACGGTAGTTGAACACGCGCCACGTTGCACAGCAGCCAGTTCCCCAGCAACCGCATCAACTGTACAGTCACAACTTTATTTCTAATACATATAACTTTAGTGAGACATTAAACAACTGATAGATATTTAACGGTTTATTCACGTAACTATTTGACGAGGAAATCGTCTCGTTTCGAGCTACGATGGGAGCTCATGTTTGTCACGCTTGAACGTGGCGCAACTTCCACTGAAACTAGCTCCTCTTCAAGAATTATGCGAAAAGTCATTAAATATAATAAAGATTTAAAAGTAGTAAACTTTATTGTAAATACGTGATACTAAATTATCTCTGGAACCTCTCGCGACCGGCCTTAGTCGAGGCTATAGTGTGGAGGGAGAGGAACAAGGAAGCCGTCTCTTCTGCGAAGCAGTCATACTCGCCAAAAATAAGGCGGAGCGCGTGCCTCGACCATCCTTTGCCCGCCGACGAACTCGGCTGGACCATAAGTGCGGTTAATAAAACTAAATGATATTTATTTCTCGTTCTAGCATGCAATTTTGGACCATATAAAGCATACATAGAATACCTTATCCGGATTTATGAAACTAAGAAAATTAAAGAATGAAATCTTTTCGTATGTTACATAATACTTATTTCCTTTGCAGTACAGATAAGCAACGTTCACATGCTTGCATCAAGTCTATAGGCATTTGTATGTATTTTGCGACAGTTCGCTCATTCCCTATTCAACGCTGTCATGCAAGCTCCACGCGCCAAAGCCTGTGGATCGTGGCTCTGAAACAATACGGCCCTAGCATGACGATTTTGTGAAAATGTTCCAAAAGTAAAAACAAATCACGAGAAATACATATAGATAACTTCTCTCACGTGGTTTCACCCAATGCTCGGTTCCTACAGATCGTGGTGTGATGATTTATAGCCTTCCTCGATAAATGGACTAACAAACACAAAAAAAATTGATCAATTCGAACCAGTAATTCCTGAGATTAGCGCGTTCAAACAAACAAACGCTTCAACTTTATAATATTAGTAGGTTTAGAAAATAATATTTTGGTACCTGAAAAGTAAAAATAAAACTAATTACACTATTGTAAAAAAAAAAATGATGACCCGAGAGGCCGATAAGTGACAAATTGTTCTTTTATTTTTTTATTTTCATCTTTATTGACAGTCAGTAAATATCCCACTGCTGTTAAGATACCTCTTCGCACACCGATAAGTTTTGAGCATTACCGACCACATTTGCTCATAGAGAATTTTTACATTTAAAACTTATAACTGAAAAAATAAGTTTAGGTATGTAAGCGGTGTCTGAAATAGATGAAAAAGTACATATAACTCGGAAAAAGTCATAATAGCACTTGTCAGATGTAACCCACACCTTTACGCACCAGAAAAGGACCCTTAATTACCACAAAATTAATCACACTCTAAAAAATTAAAAAATATGAGATCAAAGCATCTTATCGCTTCGAATTGTCTTTCAAATATTAATGTGAATCTGCGTTACTTGTGTTACAAAGAACATTTTTTTAACATTAAATGTTTGTCCCTTCTACGCACATACATATATATGGAAATAATAATATTCCTATTTATTTACACCAATAACATTTTGATTCGCTAAATTAAGTAAAATAACCAATCCTTAAAAATACAATTTGGAAGCGTCATCAGCCAGTATTTATTTTGTCAACGATCGAAATGAACGCATAAAAACAAAATCCATTTTTATCCTCGAGCGTTTTTGAACGAAACGTAAAATCCGATGTGTTTTGAAAAAGGGCTTTAAACGTCGATTTTGTTCGGAATACTGGTATTCGTTGGGTTCAACGATATCTCTCGGAATTATCTTGTAACTGGATGTACAAAATGTTACAATACATTTATACAAATAATGTTTTTACGTAAATAGCTCACATAACGTTAACAATAAATTTAACATTTAAATTGTTTTCATTTTGTTAGGCCTCAATCGATACTCGTAAAACAGTATCTTACTTTGTTACATTACATGTATATAATGATTTTTTCATGATTCAGAACAGATTAGGCTCACTAGGACCGATGTCCAGACGAAGTTGCGGATGGTAGGTCTATAATTTAAAAGTAGAAGGAACGGGTTGCTTTTTTATGAGTAAGATAACCTAGAGCGGGAGTCATCAGTCGGAAAACATCCACTGCTGAACAAAAGCCTGTACCTAGTCGGGAGTAAAACTCCCAAAAGACAAAAGTTTCAGCAAATTTTGATTATGTAATAGCAATCGAAATAAATCATGACTGAGTAGGCGTGAGCATTTTCACTAGACAAACAAAATTCTTGTATTAATTATTATCTCAATTTTACCGATACGCAATCATGTTAACATATATTTATAATTGAACACACAAATTACCACCTACGCATTTTAAGGTACATAGCTAGCTGCCTTAACTTATCTCAAAATATATACCAACGGAGTACATAATATCTGTCTTTATAATTAACAAAATTAGCAAACTTGTACCCCTTTATTTGAGTCAACTTGCTGATTGTTATCTTCTTAGTAATTTGGTGTTATGACGTCACAGGTCGGCAGTTTTCAAACCACTATTATTAAGGGAGGTACGTTTTGTTCAGTGTTTTATCAGGAAGAAATGAAATTGTTGGTAGTTGAATTCATTAGCATAGTAAAATAGTAAGTATTCCCGAAAGGATCAGACCGTGTAGCTAACCTATTTTAGCCATGCGTTGTTTGAATTGTATGTTTTTTGGAATTAATTTTAATTAAGCGTTGTCTCTTTACTTCTTTCAAGAACGAAAGT